TCTCTCCTTTTGCTTTTTCCAAAATGTATATTAATTATAATTGAATTAACACATTATTTGATCCTGAGTATGAGTTGACCTGTGCTTGAAGAGTGTTTTGACCGTGTATGGGGAGTGTTTTGAAGATGGACACCGCGTTAACCGTTGGACACAAGTGTCCGAGTGTCCAGCACTCCGACACTTGGGCTTAGTGGAGTGTCCGTGCAACATAGCATATAATCACTTTAAGTTGTTTTAAGTGATTTTATAGAGAAGCATATGAGAGGTTCTTCTTCTCATAATCGATTAAAATAACTTCAAGTCATTATATGGAGAAACACATGGGAGGTTCTTCTCCCCATAAATGATTCTGGCCATCACATAATCACTCTCAAATGAGCCTTTACCCTCCATATAGACTGAGGAAAATAACTCGGGATTTGGCTAAAAATCAGGCATTGAAGAGGAGAGATTGATATTTCCATTGTTTGGCAACTTATGCATTAAAATTAGGGCTTCTTAGATATGGGTTCATTTTCATTTAGATAATATGAATGCAGAACACTAATTAGGCTTTCTTCAATTGCAGTCCTCCCAATCAATTGTATGGCCAGGTATGAAAACCTTGTAGCCACCATATTGGAGAGATTTACAAGATATAACATTGGTTGAAAATGGCAAGTAAATACAAATACCACTTTTAAATATGGAAAAAACCTATTTTATTCATTCTTCACATATTAAAAACTTATTTAATTCAAATTTCATCTATATATATGGAAACTATATTTTTTAGAATTCTATATTCGCAGCTTTATTAAATTGGTAGCATATACCTACCTTTTAGCTATAAATTAATTTATATACTGAGTTTTTCAAAATTCTTTGATGGAATTTTTTTGTCATAATGTTAATTTTTTAAGGTTTTTTAGGTTTTAGACATAAAAAAATTTTCACTTTTGGAAAAAGTCAAAGCTTTTTCAAAAAAGACAACAAAACCACTCAACTTTCAAATCAAAGACATGCAAATGTATTGGATTCATCAGGAAATCTAAAAATAAATAAGGGCATTTTTGTCTATTTTTGCTTCTTTTAAAATTTTTCTCTCTCCTTTTGCTTTTTCCAAAATGTCCCAATTTTTTAATATACCTAGTATGGAGGTATAACTTTTTTTTTAATTTTAAACATATATGTTTTACATGTCATTGAGGTGCATCCAATATGTGTTTTACCTAGTACTGAGGTGCATCAAATATGTACTATACCTATTAGATAGGTATATCAATTTCAATGGTCAGTAGGGTATTGCACCTGGAGCATACGTTATCAAATTTAAGAATAATATTAATAGTTCATGAAGAAATAAACGAGTACAATGAGATAGGGAAAAAAACAAAATGTGAATTATTAATCCCCTTCGCAAAGTCATAAAACTAAAAAATAGTACAACTTGACAATTGGTGAGAAACAATTCAAAATTTTAATCATTATTATCTTTAGGTACATAGAGTGGAAAAAAAACATTATACTACAAAAAGCTACACAACAATGAAATTAAAACCTAAAACAAACATAAAAGATGGGAAAGAAAACAATAATAGTATATGAGTGGGCAATTGTATTATAAACGAATAATAAAAGGAGTACACAATAAAATAAGGGGCAATGGATTAACATATTTATGCACAATATATGCATTAATAAAATCCACGTTAAATAGGAATCTGTACAAATCAAGCATGTTTCGACATTTACATTCAAAATGTAATTTTTCCTTTAATTACATGATCAAATATGATCATTAATGGCCTATAAATCCTCATCTTACCCGTTTTATACAATAGGGATATAATAGGAACAAAAAATTTAAATACAAATCAGTTAAATACAAAATATTGAGTCAGCATGTCAAAAATGGAATGTAATCTACATAGCAAACTAGTCAAAGGACTTGTATCAACAAACAATTACTCAAGGACTAGACCTAACTATTAGTTGAATTTTTGGACCTCTATCAACTTTTCTATTAAAATTATTAAATGATGCGCGGAAAAAAAATTATGGAAATTGAGGATCAAGATTCCTAAGTTTAATTTCCACCAAAAGAAGCATCATTTCGCAATTTATGTCATTTACAAAATTCGACATACATAAATCCAAACACTGAAATTATTAATTGCCAAAAATTTAAACGATAAGAATCTAAATTCCGTCATTTAAGAATTCTATGCAATTTTCAATTCCTTCATTCGAATTCTATGGCATGTTTACTAATCCGTAATTGAATTAGGAGGAATTGAATTGAGGATGAATTGAGAATGAATTGAATTGATGAGGAGTTTGATTGAAGAGAATTAGATTCCGGATTCCTAATGAAGTTGTTTACTAAACCATATGGATTGAGGAGAGTTAGATTCCGAATTCCTATTGAAGTTGTTTACTAAACCATATGGAATTGAGGTAGGAGTTGTATTAATTACTAAAATGTCTTCATTTTTTGGTTGAAGTAGATGGCATATGGGGAATTTTGAAAATTGTGTGAGGATATAATGGGTAAAAAAAATGAATTCCTAATGAGTGAATTCTCCATGAATTAGAATACCTCCTCCCATTCTGGAATTGAATTCCTCCAAAATCAGGAATTCAATTCCTAATTTTGTGTGGGCCCCTCTTACTTTTCAATTCTTTGATGTGAAGTAAACAAATGAATTCTCCATAGGCGGAATTCAATTCCTGATGAGAATTCCAATTCCTGATTAGTAAACACACCATAAATGTTTTAAACTAACTTTGTTATATCCAAACAAAATAATAATAAAATTAAATCTTACCAAACGTTTCTACTGATGTGTCCCTTCATCTTCACCAATATTACGACTTGGAATTACAGATCTGTATATTCCTATACTTTTTGCTCCATGCCCATGACGCTGTGCGGAAAAGCTATAACTCTCCAGATAGCCATCATTCTTCCTTTTTATGCGGAAAAGCTCTTGTTAATATGAGTTAATAATGGCCTTCTTTTGGGTAGGGTTCTCTGGCTTCTTAATTTCTGGTTTAAAGTATTTTGATTTCCATTCACAAGGGGTTTTTAGTAATGATATTAACATCATCAAGATGTTAAAAAGTGACAATATATACATAAATAAAACAGAGATTCTTGTGTTTTCCTGAAAAAATGTAAACTAAAATCATAGAAATTTTCCAGCAGAGTCAAAAACCCTTGCAAGGAAGTGTACAAAAACCCAAAGTAAATCAGAAAAAATCAAAATTAGAAATTAAGGGGAGAGAGAGAGAGAGAGAAGTTCAACATTGGCTTCATATTATAATGAACTCTTCAACGAAAGTGATAAAAGGAAGGGAGAAGAAGGTTAAAGAGTTTTGAAGGGGGGTGCGGGGGAGGGGTTGCTTCAATGGACAGAAGGGTAAGTTCTTCCCGAAAAGTGAAGGTTAACTAGCTTTTCAAAAATGTCAAATCACCATACATAAGCTATAACTCTCTCACTCAATATCCATGTATAACTTTGTCAATTGCGTTATATGATGGCATGATGTAAAGGATTATCGCTTAGTTTTTACTCTTCTAATTAAGCTCTCCTCTCTTTTATGAAAATAACTCTTCTAATTAAGTTTCATTATTAGTTTTAGTCCACTCTTTTTTTTCACAGAAATTGACCCAATAAAAGAAAGCCCAAAAGCTAAACACCAAAAGGCACTCTCAAGTCTCAAGTCCAACCACCTCTGCAATAAACACCAGAAGAACTCGGCCAACACAAAGAACAAGAGTCACAAAAGAACTACTTATGGTAAGCGATATTTGCAGGAGGGGATTCCAACACAAGACCTCAGGTGCAGAGATAACTGCTTTTAACCATTTGAGATACAAGCCCCTTACAATGGACTTCCTTATATAATTTCAAGGCCTAGGATGGTTATATTAATTACATATGATCTTATAAAATATAAATCAGGTACCAATTGAGTCTCATTTCCCATCAACTAAAACAAAACTTCCAGTGCCATCTTTAATAAAATAAGATGGAAAAAAGAGAGAGGACCTGGCAAAATAATACAGCAAATGATAGAAACTTACAAGCCAAGCACAAGAGCGCTCTAATTGAGTTCAGATGTGACGTTTCTTCTCTACATTCACAGTAAGAGTTCAATTCTTGTTCTCCCTCTCCCCTGAATACAATTAATAAATAAATAAATAAACATTTTGAAGAACCTTAGCAATTCAAACTCCAGATTCCAAATAATGATGACCAGAAAGCAAAGTAAATTAAAACAAAACGAATTGTGCAGACTTTCCATTATTGAACAAGTTGTACACAAAATCAATCTAATGAGACTTTGAATTTGAGGACTCAACTTGAGGACGTAATTGCTTTTTCTATTTTTTTGGTACAAGCCATATTGGGGGAGGGGGGATTCGAACACAGGACCTCGAGTGTAGGGATAACTGCTCTTAACCACTTGACCTACAAGCCCCTTGCAGTTAAATCCTCAACTTAGTTTACACTGGATCCGAAGAATCCCTCCAAACAATCCCTTCATTTGTGTGCATATATTTAGAAAAAGAAAAACAGTTATTTATTAAGATGCTGCAAGTAATTTCATTTCTTCTGGTCTGCTTTATTGAGCACTGAAGTAAAAACTAGGAAATGAGACACTGAACCTAGAGAAGAAGAGCATCAACCTCTGATGGATGAAACCAAAAAATGAATGAACTATTTACATAAAATTGAAAGAGCATGAGAGAGCCAAAGAGGACAGGGGAATACCTGGTAGTACGGACCTCACTTCACAATGCCTATTCTTTGTTGTCCGAGTATGGTTCAAACCCAGCCATTTAAAAAAATAACACCAACTTGTCCTGTATTTTGCTTTAAGTTGGACCAACTATCCAGTCCAAGGTAAATCCAAACACAGGTTTAAAATTTAAAACATAAGATTGAATCATATGAGCAAAAAGCTCTCAACATTTTCTGCTTTTAAAATAACTTCAGTTTAATGTAGCATTCATCCCTAAGATTACATCTATATTACTTTGTGTGTGTGTTCGAGAAAGCGAGAGCACTGAGACATATATATACTCAAAAAGACTTCATATATGATATCATATGGTACTCATGTTTGAAGGCAACCATACTAGGTAATGGGGAAAGCACAAACTATGGGAGAGCAAATAACCCTTTCATAACAGTTTAAAAAGACACTTGATTTAAAACCTACATCAGAGGGCCAAAAACCACCGGGTGCATGTTTCTGTGTCTACAAAAGGAACAAAACAGAGACTAACCGACACTTTCAGTACTAGAGGAAAAATCATGTGCTTTTGAGCCTCCCCATCACTACTTGTCATCTCTATACACGGCCTTGTCTAACTCAGGTTAAGGGATGGATCGCATTCCCTGCACACTCGCTCAATTCTTTCAGTTCTTTGGCACATTCCCCACCAGAAGGTTCAGTATCAAGTTTGGGACTCTCTCCCTTAGATGAGGTCATAGTCTCAGGTGCTATCTGTGCGGAGTCAATACCAGTCTTCGTTTCTGCCTCCAATTTGCCAGCAGACACTTGGCCATCATCCATCAATCTGTCATTTTCCTTGGATTGATCATCCTCCTCACCATTAATAACTTTAAGCTCACCTAGTGTAGAACAATCTGCAGATTTACTACCGGACTTCATACACTCAACGATGGATAAGCCAGCTGACACTCCACGTCTAGATATCCTTCAAAAGATCAAAAGAAGTTTCAGTTAAGGAGCAATAGCAGATAATAGTACATGAAAATATGAAAACCACCAACACCAAACATCTCTGCAGACTTGTTGGTTGAATGTTAATGTGGCATCCTCAGGGCAAAGGTCTAATTAACCTTTTTGAGGAAGAAAATATACAAAGTACAAACCAACCTTTTCGAGGACAACCCAGCGTTTTCTTGTTTAGATGTCTCTGATTTTGTTTTCCGTTTTCTCTTTTGTGGTCTGATCAAAATGCACAACCGAATGGTACATAAGATAAAACATACAAGTACATGGAAGCAGCAACAGAGTGCTAGACAAGGCAATTATGATATCAACCATTTAGGATGAAACAGTGATTTGTGAGCAATGTACACTCTTCACAGAACTTTGGGTGTATTGAATTTAAAGGTGTTCTTTTTTGCATTTCTGGAGTCAACTAAATTTAGCCCTTTGCATTGATTCTTTGGTTAGAACATTAAAGTCTGTAATCAGTATGCAATGCGCATCTGCATCATTATATTAAACACAGGAAGGAAAAAAATGACAAAAAAATTAGAGTGACACAAAACTTTCAAAAATCTCCAAGTAAGGGAGCCAACTAGTGAAATATAGTTGTGCTAAATATTGAAGAAAAACCTTGCCCGTATGGTTGTGCAAACCCAAAAGAATCAAGTCCAAGGATTTGTCCAGAACATAACAAGGGAACTTGAGGAATAAATACAACTAGAAGGATTGCCTTTGGTTCACATAGGTGTCAAAAAGCAGCCCAAAAAAATTAATTTTGCAACGACCAGCTTTACTATAAAAGACAAACTTTTCAGAAGCACAAGCACAACTACTAAACTGAATTTTCTATGAACTGCAATGATACTGTTTGAAAAAATAATGCTTACGTATCAGAAGAAGCTTCAGGTTTTGGCAGATTCTCCATTTGGACCTGTTCAAACTACAACAAAAATTACACAGGATAATTAAATTTAGAATAAATTAAAAACAAATAAGTGAAAACTATAAACAAAAGAAAAGTAAAATTTAAGCCACAATACATACATCTGGTAAAACATCATCGATCAGTTGCCAACGTTGCTTTTTGAGATTTAGATTTTCTTCATCCCCATCAACATACAACACCTGTGCAAGAAGTCATTAAAGAACGGAACATTTTAAAACAACAATATGCATAATGGTCGAGAAAAAATATGAAAGGAACCATAATTGGGGTTAAATGGGAGATGCCAGGTAGGGTGATCAGATCATGTGAAAAGTTGATGTTACTACAAAGAGTATAAGAAGGCCAAGGAGATCACAGTCTAGAACTCAAAGACACTGGTATTGGGAGATAATCAATCCAACAGTTTCAACTCACTTTATGATACACAACAGAAGACAAGCAATATAACATGAAGACCATAAAATCAACTCACCAAGTGCTTCTTTTTAGCAGGGTCGTAAGAAGAAACAACACCTTCATAAAACCTGCACAGAAAGAAATTTCATGCAAGAAAACAATCAATTCTGATTATTACTCCGGTGATACAGACATTAGCGGGGACATACAAAGAAAAACACTGAATAAATGGCATGAAGAATAGAACACTAGCTGAAGAGGATTCAGGATCTTCTGGCAACTTGGGAAGCCAGAAATTTCAACAATGGGGTGTCTAGTGATGATCAGAACCAATAATGAAATAACGCCTGGAAACCTCCTACAATTCATGTTAAACTAATGACTCCTTGTATCGGGTCAACAACAGATTTTGATATGGTTTCTCAGCGAACAATACCAATCCAAAATAAAGTGAACCAAAGAATCACAATCACCATTTTTACTCCCCAAACATGTTGTGAGTGATGGCAAACAAGCTAAAGATAATAAACCCCTAAATCAAGCGAACTTTTACTCCCCACTCGAATCAACTAAATTTCAAGGAGCCTTTTAATTATAGCAAAAGTTTCTTTGGTATCTTATGTTTGCAAGTCCTAAAGGAACTAACTAGCAAAGGTAGGCAACATGGACACTATTGACGGTATATGAAAGTAAATAATGACTAATGAACAAAAAATATCATAGTATGACATTTTCATTATCAGTTCTGCAATACTCACGCTTTGTCCATTGGCCACCAAACCCTTACTCTACTGCCAACCAATCGCTCATCAAGATCAGGCATTTGAGACGCCTGAGGGGGAAAAGTTAATTTACAAAATATGTATATATATAAGAGATATCAATAAATTAATAGATAAAATAGGATGTGTGAGGTTAGAACTTAGAACAAACAGAAATATCATACCTGTAAGCAAGTTCTTAAAACAAAACACAAAAAGTAGTAAGGACAATGTAATCAATTGCTCACTAACAGAAAATACATGTCTAGCATGCTGCACAGTTCCTAGATATATCAGGAGGAAAAGTGGACCTTTGGTATTCAATAAAGCATCCACCACCAGCTTAATTTAAGAGTAAATGAAGCAAGCAACATATCAATTGAAGCATTTTCATGATAAAGGAAGGTGTTTATTTCCATATGTAGTAAAACACAATACTTTAGCAACTTAGTAACAGAACACAATAGTTAAGATGAAAGACTTGATGTTGTATTTCCACTTTTAGTGATAATTGATTAGTAAGGTTAAACAACTTTATTGAAATGAATGTGTAACAATATCATCCCAACAATGTTTCCAAGTTCAGAAAATGTACACCACGGTCCCAAACCCAATGCAAGCTCCTTATTTTACTTCTCCAGTTACAACAAACATAAATACGAAGTGGGATACATGTTAAGCTTGGAGGATTCCCAAGTTCAGAAAGTACACCATGGTCCCAAATCCAATGCAAGCTCCTTATTTTACTTCTCCAGTTACAACAAACATAAATACAAAGTGGGATACGTGTTAAGCTTGGAGGATTCCCAAGTTCAGAAAGTACACCACGGTCCCAAATCCAATGTGAGCTTCTTAAGATATTACATCTACAGTTTGCAACCTTAAGACACTACCCCTGCCCCACTGTTTCTATTTTTTTTTTTTTAAATATAATTAAGGTGCATAAGAAGAAAAAGAAAGGGGAAAAAGCATTTTTATAAGAAGCAAAATTCTTACTAAAATGCATTGGGTTAGTTCAATACTTTCATAGTCATCAATCAAAACAAAGCATACAATTATTTACATAATGCCACCACTAAGCTCAAATTACCAAGGTTTTAGAACATATTTAAAATTCTGCCCTCATATAATAAAAATTCTGACTTCCATGTTAGTTCATACTATTATTAGTCCATTATTGTTGGACTGATCATCATGACATATAAAGATTAAAAGGAGTGCATAAATAGCATTTTATTTTCCATATCTTCCAGCAAAAGAAGAGAAAGGGGAAGAGATGGAGAACACCTTTTAGTATGAGTCACTGAGATTTATACTTATGTGTATCATGTCTGATTATTATATTAAGAACATAGTTCATTTGCACTGCTTCATCTACAGGACGATGCTAATAGGGTCTACTAAATTCAAATGTAAAGTTGGGCCAACACAGAATATGGGCCACCCAAAGTTGTTTGTGTACACATTACAACATGTAATGTAAGCAATATTTTCAACATTTATTCATTTTAATTATCCACTACAAATTATCCAGTGACAAAGCTTCCTAAGGATAACAGTTGAGCTGAATGACCACAGAAAAAAGACCAGTACCCACAGTATACTTCTAGTTAAAAGAAAGAAAAATGTTCAAAATATAATTGAGCACCAAACTATAACTGGCCAAATTGTAAACTGCCATTGAAATTAAAAATTCTTACCTCTTCCTTTTCAATGGTACACTTCCTCTTCAGAACCACTTTATGTGTTCCTTCATTATCTTCACTCAACTTTGTCGCAGACTTAGAAATCTTCTGAAAAATGGATAGTTGGCACAACAGAAGAAAGAAAAAAGCCATTACAGGTGACAGCTTAAAATTCCAACATCTATTTATTTTTGCATCAACGTTAAAGAAGTAATGAAGTACCTTGCTACCAGATGCTTTGGTACTCTCCTTACTAGAAGTAGCATTCCCCCTACGTGTCTTAGTACCCGTTCGGACATATGATTGATCATTGGTACGCCCAGATGCAACATCCAAAGCTGACTGTTGCTGTGGTTTTTCATCAGGATCAAAGGGAATGGCAGCTTCCATATCTGTGACAACAGGTATGGAAGCAAGCAAGCACTCCTCACTTGTCTTTTCAGCACGTTCTAGAGCTCTAGGATGCCCCCGTGCTTTTGCTTCAAAGGTACTGGTCTCCTTAAATCCCTGAGTCAGATGGGTATCTGTTTTTTGCGCAATTCTCTCCTCAGCCTGAGTACTTGAGAACTCTCGCCTCGCAGCAAATAGGGGACCACGGTTAGCTGAATGATCGGCCACAACCTGCTTTTTTGGTCGACCCCTTCTGCGTTGGGTTCCACCAGGAGGGTTATTTTGAGGAAGCAGAGAAGAAGCTCCAATGTCCGCTTCAGGTTTAGGTTCTAAACCTGGTGGCTCAGTCACCTTTTCAAGTGTTAAATGCAAAGCAGCCTTTCCATGAAGCCGACCTTCAGCGGGTGAAGCATCAGATCCCTTGTCATTAGACTTTCTGCGTTTTTGAGTTTTTCTCCCAGTATGTATCCAAGAATGGTCATAGCCTTCTGCTGGATTCATCAAAGAATTTGGCTTCCTGCCTCTCTTTTTGGGAGCTGAGTATGGCTCAATTTCTGATTTGACAGCCTTCGGAGAGAATGAATTGTTAGGTTGAGAGTGGTCATGGCCTTCCTCTGAATTCTTTGAAGAATTTGGCTTCCGCCCTCTCTTTTTGGGACCTGAGTATGGCTCAACTTCTGATTTGGTAGCCTTCAGCGAGCCCGAATTGTCCAGTTGAGCACCATCTCTTGAATCAATACACTTGGAATGTTTAGTAAGATGGCAATGCTGTAATTGTTTAGAAACTTTTTGTCTGACATTGTGTTCATCCTTAGTAGGAGCAGCCACAGTTTTGCCAGCTTCTCTAGGATTAACAGCACCGGGGGCTGCAATTCCCCTCTTTTGGTAAGCATCCAGTATCTCAGCAAATGAAAGTCCCTCTGTCACCTGTTTAACAGAGAAGTTTCTTTGTGGGTGAGTGTAAGTTCCACTTAATGCAAAGGGGAGAGAGAGAGAGAGAGAGAGAGAGAGAGAGAGAGAAGAGAGGGAATATAGAATGAGCATAACAGTCACGTACATGGGAATCGTTCAGAACTTCCAATCTATTTTTCTAATCACATGCATAGATAATGGACCCTCTTCAAAACACAAATACCTATGCACAAAGAAGTATATCATAAGCTATATCATACAACATTCCTCCTAAGATTTGTTTCTAACATGTCATGTAATTAAAGCTAAGCAGTGCTATGCCAATTTCTCAAACAATCTCTACATAAAAAGTAGAATAACTAGGTCTCTATCTAGAAAGTAGAATAACTAGGTCTCTACTCTACGTACAAAGTAGAATAACTAGATAGACAGCACAGGATGGTTTTATTTCATTCAACAAGAATGTCAACAATTGTTTTGTGTATTGTGTGCAATCAGAATCAATACAACCGGCTGACTATCATGTTGTCTTTATTCAAATCTATGGTTTTACTCACTAGTATGGGCGGACTCGGGATTTCGAAATGAGGTGAGCTAAATTTATGTTACGTACAAACCTACTAAAAGGATAGACTACTTGACGGTACGAGTGAATTTCATTGATAACAAAAAATACACAGGGAGACATAATGAGCCCCTCAAAATGCATCTAGTACAACCTTAAATAAAAACAACATTTAAAGGGGGAGGAAGTTTTTCACACATATACTAATAAATAATATATTCATAACGATGTTTGAGAGATTAATTAAAAAAAAATACAAGCAATTAATAAATAATTTGGTGAGTAAAAGACTAAGCAAAATTAAGAGTGGTAAATGATTTTGGTGGTGTGAAAATTTGGAAGAAATAGATGGGTTTTATAGGGAAAATTGAACGGTACAAAATTTTTAGAAAAAGAAAGAAAATTGAAGTTGGTACTAATTTTCAAAAAAATTGCCGTGGTTTTAATTGCATTAATAGTATCGAATCATGCTTGAGTAGTTGGAGCAGCTTCAATGAGTGAGTAATACTTTTTAAAAACCAACCGTTGGATGAGCAGAGGTTGGTTGAGTGCATGGGCACTGATGAACGAGTAGATATAGCAGCTGCGCTGAGGAGAGTGAAGCAGCTCTTGAGTGAGGGTGTGTGGGGTGCGCTTGGGTGGGCTGGGATATTAACGTTGGGCTATAAAAAATAAAATCACCTGGGCTATAGCCCAGGTTAGCATGTGCATAGGTCCGTCCCTCACTAGCATCATCAATTCAGTGTAATCATCTGTTTCTGGTAACCCATGTTAGTCTCTACTTTCACTATGGTCTGACGATATATTTTTAATACTACTCAAACAGCAGACACCAGAGTGCACAAAATGGATCATGGGATACTGAACACTGGGAGACAACAAGCTTTCTAGTTCAAAAGGATTTGATGCTATGATCACCTCAGAGAGAGAGAGAGAGAAAACATGAATACATAAGAACAGTCATTTCATTTTTATTTTTTTTAATTAATAAGAAAATTCAGGCTTTGAATTCAGTTTTAAAAAAAAAACATACAAAGAACAAGTTAAGGAAATAGAATCAGCAAAACACACCCAAAAAAAATCCATACACTGTACTCTAAACTTATTAAACATGCAAGTGAGCTGACAATATCACAAGTTTGGCATACCAGATTTTTCCCAGAATCATTGTCATTATCATTTTTGAGGGCATCAGATCCATTTTGGTATACAGAAGCCACTATTTCAGCATAATCTTCCAAAGCAATGTCCATGGACTTCACTGCTTCCACGAGATAAGATTTAAGCTTAGCAGAACAATTCTCTATAACTTTCTCCCCCAGTTTCCAAGAAATAGGTGAAACGGTCTGAAACAATGAGTAAAGGGCATACACTCTTAAATAAACAAAATGGAATGGTAGGAAAATAAAAAAGGAACATAGCAAAACAAAACAAGATGTAAAGGCAAAGAGTATTACCTGATCCTGATTTTCCTTTCTAACACTAGATAAAAGAGCTTTTAGAATATCCAAGGGAATTTCTTCACTTTCATCTAAAACCATTGTCATAATTCTTTCCATGGCTGAAAATACAGCATCTGGAAGGTTGGACCTAAACTTAAGCAAGAAGAAGCCATAAGTTGTAAATTATTTGTAAAAAATAAATGAACTCATGTAAAATGAAATAGAAAACCAAAGCTCCAAGTTATTATGAAAATCAAAACACACTGCGGACACAAAGATTATTTATTTTCATAGAGTATTGTTTAAATGAATAAGTTATAAACAAAAAACAAAATGGATGTTCAAATACTTGATCTCTCATTAGGAACACAAATTAAACTTGTTCTCTTCAAACTTCAGTCCATAATGAAAGTTTACAATATGTTTTGCTGTCGATACAACCACAAAGCACTTTCCAGCAAAGAACCGCAAGAGAAGTCAATAAGTAATATTTTAAACAGCATTGATAAAGCTCTTACTTGGTTATTTTAAGGAAATGTTGAAACATCTCGAGAATTAAGGCATCGCAGTCAAGGTCCATCATCAACAAGCTTGACCTGACCTTCGCAACAATACAAAGAATGGAACCTGCCTTTGTATAATAACGACTGGACTCATGTGACAAATTTTCAAAAGATGCTACAGTCAGCTGAAAGATTTCCTGTGCAACCAATAAACAGGAAATGAAGTCCTAAGTGCCCATAAAATTAAAAAAGGAGCATTTGATGATACAAGCTGTAGAACTTCGAAGTGATTAATGATTAGTTAGAATCTTGGAGCTGTTATACCTTCATCCGTTCATCATCGTATGGGGCATCCGGTGCTGTTATTCTTGTAATCTGAGTAAGGCAAGATGCAACAGAAAGCTTCACATCCACATCTGAGTGCCTCAACAGTTCATTAGAAATTAATGCTTTCATTAAGGGTAGAAGTGCATCTTGCATGGATCTGGGTGGTCCTTGCTCAACATTGTCCAACAAATCGTTAGCGTCCTAAAAGACAGAATGAAACAGAGGGGTATTGTCAATCGTAAAACCGATAAAGGTACAAACAAACAAAAAATCAGATATAGCTCTGTTTAACATAACTTCAAACATTTGCATTGCAACAGATTCGAACTTCAGATTAGTTACATTTAAGCATATATCATAATAATCATTACATTTAACCATCACATACAATCGCAAATCTGACTAAGAATGCTCAGTGGCTACTTATTAGAAATGTATAGAACTCATTAGTTTCAGAAGTAAGAATTCACATAAGGTCATAGAAGGTGCAAACACCTATACACCACACAACATCTTTCAATAAGCAACAGTATACATTCACCATCGTTTGACAAACAATAGTATAAATCAAACATTCAAAAATGAAAAATCATAGCCAACAAACAGCTCACAACTGGTTTAACATTTAACCATCAAGCCATTCAACACATATAGAGGCACACACCATCTTGTAATAAGCAGCAGTGCACATCTAAACATTCAAAAACGAAAAATCATAGCTAGAAAACAGCTTGCAATAGGTTTAACATATAACCATCAAGCCAGTCAAATAATTAAGGATTACATATATGCAATTGAAAAATAAAACTCAGATGTTCATTTAAACCACAATTCTGAGTATAGGAAACAAACATCAACATGTACAAAGCCCTCATAATTACTGAAACCACATTTCCCTTCATAAAAGATTTGTTTTTTAACCCAAATAAACAAATAAATGAAAACTAAAACCGCAATAAAAAACCAAAAACTTTTCAATAAACAAATGGTAGCCCTGACTTTGAAGAATACACAAAATGATCATCAAACCATCTCAAGTCATTATTCGTTTGTATTCTAATGAACTCAATTAACCCAAAAGAAAACCGGATGCACACACTCAAAAGAAGAAGAAGAAAAAAACCTATAAAACACTCCCAGTCAGTAATTCATGATGATCAACCCATTCCCAGCCTTCATACACTCGACATTCCAGAGAATTTCATCAAAGCAAAAAATAACCCAGTAACATGTATATTGTGTGTGAAAATGCAATACAAAGAGAGAGTAAAGGGGGCATTACATCAAGAAGTTTGAGAAGCTCATCAGTGCCAGAAGGAGTGTTCAGGAGACTATTTCCAGTCTCCTTAAGCTGCTCCTCAAGCTCTTGCTCAGAGGAAGACATTGTAAGAGCTAAAAGACCCTTCCTTTTTCTTTTGTTTTTGAGAAACTCAAAGACCCTCAAGAGAAAACCCAACGCAGAATTGCACTGCAAGCTCTTAGACCCTTTTTATAACTCCCCAAATATCAAAAAGTGACAAAGCTACCAACTCAGAACAGGCAAGTCTTAGGGATTTAAGGCAAAGTGTTGGGCATGCAAGCAGAGAGTTACAAATGGGCAGTTTCGTATTCTGACCAAAATTATGAATTTTGGTTCACCCTTGGGCTCTCAAATCCGGTACAGTATCTCTACTGTACTTGGGTGTTTTTGGGTTATGCCTCTACAAAACCAACACCCCATTTTTATACACAAAGCTAAAAGCTTGGGACACCATTGGCGCTTTAATGCTTGTTTTTGAGTGCTGGGCTTCCTAAGAGAGTGCTCTACTTACCAAAATAAAAATAAGTCTGTGCTCAGTCAAAACTACGTTATTGCCCCTGTAATGTTTGAATTTGGAGGGGGTAATGGCATGATATTTTATTGGTATTGCAAGGACTAATAAAATTCTTGGAGCACCAATTTTAGTGAAATGAATTTTACATGCCATGAGTTCTTAGATTTGGCAGTAAAATTTGTATCTGAGTTGGAGACATAGAATTAAGACAGGTTTGGTGAATTTCCTAGAGTTCTTATCCTCATCCATGAGAAAATGCAAGACGGCCCTTTCTTATTTTGAATTTAAGGGGTTAATTTTTTGTAATTTGTTGCTTTTCCAATGTCAAAAACAATGCTTGGACTTGGAGGACCAAATTTAGTGAAATGCATTATACATATGACAGATAAATATGTTGTGTAATTTGTTCCAGATGCAATGTGCCTAGAGTAGTCCATGTATATCCTTAATTATATAAGGTAGCTGCTCTGGCCTTTCTTGAAACATAGTATTTAGCAAATTTTCGTTTGACAGTCAAAGTTTATCTTTCAAATATTAAGATGTTTGATTTTTATGGTAATATCCAAAAAAAATTCTTTTCGCGTAATTTACTCTCTTTTTTTAAATAATGAGGGAGATGTTCGAATTTGGGACATCTTTCAATTTTGGGAATTTTTATTTTATTTTTTTTTTGGTTAAAATTTTGGGAAAAGATAATGCTACTAGACCAAAAGCTAGTTGGTACTCGGAACATTACTTAAATACCATTCCTAATTTCTTTGTTTATTTGTGTGAGACAACTCTAAAACCATCCATATATTTTCATTTTTCTGTTCTAATCAGCTTCCTTTTTTCTTTTTCTTTTTTGATATTATTCTAATTATAGTTAATATAGTATGAATTTAATTATATTTCTAATAATAAGTCTTACACTAAGATATGAAATGCTTAATCAGGAGCTAACCCACCAAACATCTTTTGAGAGGCCAAAGATAAATTTTACTAGGATGAACCGGAGATAAAATTAAATGATAAAAATTATAACTAAACATAATAACAATGTACAACATCACAAATTTCTATTACCTAACTCAAAGGTACAGTACAAGTATAACAATTCAAGAGTTTTGGTCTCTTAGCATGTTGTTGTGCATTTCTGTACGTCATTGTCTTTCTCTTTTGCAAGGTTTGGTTTGGTCTCCCATGTTGTTCTTGTATATCTTTTTTGTTTCTTATTAATAAATTATGATCAAGAAGACGAGCGAGGGGCTTCTGGAGTGTTGGTCCTCTCTTTGAGGGTGGTGGATATTTGTGCATCTGATGACCAATACTGAAGAGTTAATCTCACTTAATCCTTTGGTTTATTTTAAAATTTTAAAAATCAAATATTTTATATGTAAGAACAAATATCTTATTTAATTAGAAAGTCACACATTTTATTAGATGAACATAATTTATATAACTTTTCAAAACCATTGAAAAAAACCCACATATAATCTAAATATGATTTAAAATGTTGGGGAAGGGCTGCCGACCCGAGATGTAGAAATCTCAGGTGAAAATCTCCGAAAATGCGTAATTATATTTGTGTAGTATTGTCCTAAAGCAAATAATAATAGTATGACATAATAATGCACAACATTGCTTGGTCATGGATTTGTATTAATTAAATAAATCACTAGCACAACATAATATGTGTAAAATCCACATACCTTATCATTAAGAACCCCCTTCATCATCATTTGTAGATGAAAATCATATTCGTGGGAAGGCTGCTTTGCGTTTAACGCTTCAAAATGTGAACGAGCCACCAAGTTTAGAACCTAAACCTGAAGGGTACACAGGAGCTTCTTCTCCATTTCTTCAAAGTAACCCTAATGGCGGAACCCAACGCAGAAGGGGCCAGCCAAAGAAACAGGTTGTAGCCGATCATGCAGGTAACCCTAGTTCCCTTTCAGCTGTGAGGAGAGATTTCTCGAGTGCTCATGTTGGGGAGAGAATTCCACAATAAAAAGATAGACATTTGAGAAAAGGATATAAGGAGACAAGTATCTTGGAAGGCAAAAGCAGAAGAGCATCTTAAAGCTATATAGAACTTGCTGAGACGACAAACGAGGGGTGCTTGCTTGCTTCTGTACATGTGGTCCTTGTGATCCAGAGGAAAACAACAACAATACAGCTTCGGTTCGGATAGAATCTGGGAGATCCAATGATCAACTTTAAAGATACAACCTTGTAGTATCTCAAGCTTGATGATTGATCCTTTGCAAAACAATTCCTAACTAAACACCGCACTGTCATATGCCGAAATTATTAGTACTATTTTCTTCAAACGTTAAACCAATCACAATCACCAGACGAAAATATATATATTTATTGAGACAATCCTTTTGTTTCAATATCTTAAGCTACGACCCAACAAATATGTGGATCAAGCCAACATTCTTGCTCACATATAGCTCCACCCTGCATCTGAAAGAAAAAAGTTGCATACAGTTTTTTTTTTTTTTTTTTTTTTTTTTTTGGAATCAAAATATCAAAAAAAAAAAGAAGAAGAAAGAAATGTTCTAACTTCAATTTCTCTCTCTTTGAGATGTCACTCATAATTGATACAGCTGCTAATTAATGCAACGATTTTAAGTACATTATGAAGGCTACTGACGCTTCATGATTGTTACCAAACTCACCTATTTGGCAATTAGTACATACTAATTGTCTTGTATAATTCTTTATGCTTGAGGTTGTTGCATACTAACCATCTTTTATATTTCTAAACGGTTAGCAATGGAGCATAAGACACACTAGTGTCGTGATTGGGAACAATTGCTCCTCCAAAAAAGGTCCTGGACTTGAATCCTAATATTCGTGTAGTGTATATGAGTTTAGTATATTACCCCTCTCATAGTGAAATATGCTTGAGATTGAGACCAAATGTAATAGACCGATGCTTACCGAAACCCTCTTGAAGGATCTAATCATACACGTTGCTCAAAATTAATTTACAAATTTAGCTAGTATGCCAAAAGTGCTAATATTTAAGAATATGAGAGGTCATAACCTTTTGTAGGTAATATAATTATTTTAAAAAACAACAAATTACTTTTTTCTATTTTAGTTTTCAATATAACAAAAATATTTCTAATCATTTCAATTTTGAAATATTGATTTCACAAAATAATATATTTTGCAAGTTTTTCAAAATCGTTTTTTCCCACCACTTTTCAAAGTTTTCAACTATTACATATAATGAGAGAGTCAAAAGAAACAAAAAGAAGGGAGGAGAGAAGGGCGGAAGGGAGAATGAGAAAAATATACATGAAATCAAAATGGTCATGAACCATACTAATCATAAGCATTTTACATAATATAAATTAAATGGATAAATATTTACCTTATAGTCATCGTTGCATGAAAACACCCTTATCGGCTACTTGTTTGGCCGTAAATGTTTTTTTAGTGAAAAGTCTTAGATACGAAAAATATGTTCAGGTAGTTTGCATTTTTTTATGGTGATTCTATGGTGATATCAAAGGTAAACTACGAGAATCTATTTGATTTTCATAAGAAATTTGAGATCTAATGGTGATTCTATGTAGATTAGGCCACTAGGATTTCGGGCGCCACGGCGATAGTAAGGGTTTAGGGTTTAGGGTTTAGAGAAAGTGAAAGGATAAAGAAGTATGAATAAAAACATATTGTATTTATATATGTAAATTTGACATTTAATAGGGGTTTTGAGTATCGGAGTTGGTGAGGGTTTAAAAAGTAAGGAAAAAATATACGAAAGACAATTCTAGAAGAAAAAAAAAATTGAGAAAGTGAAATATTTCTATGTTATCTTTATTACTTGAAGTATAAATGGATAAATAATTACCTTATAGTCATCATTGCAAGAAAAAAACCTTCGGCCGGACACTTTTTGTGCCGTAAATGTTTCTAGTGGAAAATCCTAGATACAAAAAATCTATTAGAGTAGTTCACATTTTTTTTTAATGGTGGGTGATTTCAGAGGTGAAACTACAAAAATCAATTTCCATAAGAAAATTTGAGATCTAATAGTGATTTTATGTAGATTAGGTAGGTTTCAGGCGACTCGGGCAAAAGTAAAAAAATTAAGAAGTATGAATGAAAACATATTATATTTATATAAGAAATTTGACGAAAAAAAAATTTATAAATATGAGATCTAATAGGGTTTCGAGCATCGGAGTTGGTGAGGGTTTAAAAAGTAAGGGAAAAATGTACAAAAGAAAATTCTAGAAAAAGTGCGAAAGAAATATATTTTTGAGTTATTTTTATTAATTTAAGTATAATATTTAGTTC